CATGTGGTTTTGCAAGTACCAAATCTTTACCACCTGTATATTAGCTGTGAACTGAAATACTGAATTGAGCAGTCTGATAAAACCTCCCTAAAGGACTGCTCCTGGGCTGTAGGCCTTGGTCTACAGTTTTCAGTAAGACATCTAAATAAAACTAACTTTAATTCTTTAAAAGCTTGATTTGTTTTTTTCTTTAGCAGACAGAAGCAATATCATTAGCTGAAAGTCAGGAGGGCCAAGAAGTGCTGGAGGTGTGAAGGTAAAGGTGAAAGCAGGAAGTCGTCATCGAGTGGAGCCTGTGACTCAATGCACTAAGGTAATGTAGTGTGATTGGCAGGCAGCTCCGAGGGCCATGTCGAGGCTCCTGGCCTTGAATTTGAAGGGAGACCAGTCAGCATGGGGGGAGGGGTGTGTCAAATTGAGGAAGTATCAAAGCTCATGAACTTCACGCTGGATAGAAGGAAGGAAAAGAGAACATAGGAGAGCACAGGAGAATGGAAAGAGTTTCAAATCAAGGGATTACAGGCTCCAGGGATGGGGTCGGGGAAGAGGGATGTTAGGCAGTACTGGAGGGAGAAAGCTGGTAATGACACCTGCCTGGGGCAGACCAGCTGATTCCAATGTACAGCCAAGGTCGAGAAGCACTGCTCTGGTGTTATCAGCTGCTATTCTGTAATAGTTAACTTCCAGGGGCTACCATTATAAAGTACAGGTGGGCTGGGACTGCATTTCATGGAACCGACAGCAGGATACCTATGCAGAGGAAAGGGAATGAACACCACAGGCATCAAGGGATGGTACTGCTGCCCGCTGAACACAGGTGCTAATTGGACTTCAAATTGAGGCCCTCCAGAATAGCAGTGCGTCTCAAACTTTAACGTGTGTCCATATCACCTGAGGATCATGATAAAATAAAGACGCTGCTTCAGAAGTGTTGGACTGAGTGGGTCTGAGAGTTCTCACAAGCTCTCAGGGGATACTGGTGAGAAGAATCAACATGGTCAGGGTTGGGAATGACCAAGTCCCATCAAAAAGAATAAAGTGACAGCAGTTAATTAGAATCTATTAAGCTGAAAGGGTCTAAATCTCTAAAGGGGCTCAATTAAAAGGGATGCCATAGGAAGGGCACGCCTTCCAAGGTGAGTGAGTGACTGATGCTCTCTACCTCCTGGAGATCAGACAGGATGGAAAGCATTTATTTTGTAAAGAATGTAAATTATTGATTTCTATAATGCAATGCCTTCCTCCTGTGGGGTGGTTTAAGCAGTTCTTGTAGCAAGAGGGGTAGCTGTTAAAACATAGGTTGCCTTGGCCCATCATTTGGACTGAAGCCCCCATTCCCCTCACTGCTGGGAGCACTGGAGGCTTACAGCTCTCTGAGGATTGCCTGGGCCTGAAGGGATCTTTCTCAACCAAGATTCCTGTTTCTCAACCAAGATCCTCTATGCAGAATCTGAAAGGTCCAGCCCACTTTGCTCAGTTCAGAATGATCCTGAAGGCACTTCCATCTCCAGAGCTCCATGTGTGATCAGCTGAGGCCTTTGCTGGGTCTACATCGTCTCAACTCACTCCATCCCCTTTCTGTTCCCCTCTTCCTTCCCACCCCATGTGGCTTCCTTCTCTGCCTCACAGGCATGGATCCCAGGAGCACACCCCAATAACCTTTCATTCAAGCCACCATCTCAGAGTAGGCTTCCTGGGAAACAACTTGTCACGAGTATTTTTTTTTCTGGATTAAATATAGAAATTGCTTTAGAAAAACCAAGAAGTCTAGAACTGCTAGGTTAAAAGAGCAAACATATTGAAACTCAGGTTAGAAGATGGATTGTAGATCTAAAACCTAAGCCTGAAAAGAAATGCCATGCCTGAGAAGTTGACATTTGATTCACCCTTTGTCCCAATACTCTGAAATGGGCTAATTTACTGTGTGCTAGTTACTTGTACTTGGTGAGCAGGCAGATTGGTGATAACAGCTTCTAGAATAGTCCAGCCGGTGAGATCATTATGAAAATAGCCAGGAGGAATCCTTTTCTAATCTCAACTTTCCAGTTTCATCACTGGCTCTGCTAGGACTGGGGAAACCTGCATTTCTGGGAGCATGCTGGATTTTCTCCTGCTTGATTCTACTGTTTCTGTATTCTTTATCATTCTGGAACCTTTATGTCCTCAAAGCTGTATCTGTGGCATCTTTTTGCTAATACAGGACCATTCCATTTTGATGACTGTGACATTGCCATCCACCCATCTGCCCAAACTAGAAATCTGAGATTGCCCTGTTTTCCTTCTATACACTCAGCCACCAAGATTTGTTGATACCTCCTAAATATCTCTATAATTATTTGCCTTTTCATTCCGTTCACCTGCTCCCTAATTCAAACACAAATAATCTCTTTCCTACACTATTGCAAACTTTCTTTCTTGTCACTTTGCTTCTAGTCTTGAATTGGGATTCCATCTCTGCCATCTATTAAATTCTTTGTTGTTCTTCATTCTCTTCTCCCCCTCACCCGTCTCTTTTAGTTCCTGGGAGATCTTGTCTATTCTATGGCTTTGATTCATATTGATATGCTGAAGATATACTGAAGATGCCACAATATCCCTCTAAGACTTTTAAGTCCAGACCTCTAAGTTTAGCTGGCAGTTCTTCAAATTCAATTTGTCAAACAACGAATTACCACTTTCTCTCTCCAACTGGATATTTCTCTTCTATTCCCCACCGCAATGAATGACACCACCTTCTACTTCCCAGCCACCCAAGTCACAAAGCCAGGTGTGGTTTTTGATTTGTCCATCTCCCTAATTCCATCTCTAACTCCACCTCTTAAACATCTCTTGGCCTTATCTCTACTCCTATTGTCACTACTCTGGTCCCAGCCAGGCTATCTCATCTAGATTTTTTTTTAACCGGTATATCTGCATCAGCCTTTTAATTTGGTTTTTGATCTCTATATTGTCTTTCTGCAATCCATCTCTCATAGGACAGAGAGAATAATCTTTCTAATCTACAAATCTGCATTCCTTTGCCTGAAATTCCTCAATGCTTTCCCATTGTTCTTATAATAAATGTATGTGGCTTATAAAAACCCATTACGGTCAAGCACTCTTTCTTCCCACGTGCTCCCACTCTCATTCATGACACTCTGGTCATTGGAATTCCTTGGTTCCTTGAATGCACAATGCTTTCTCTCACCTCTAGACCATGTTGTACCAAGTTCCCTCTTCCTAAAGACTCCTTCTTCTGATCTTGACTCAACCTTTGCCTTACTACTTACTCTTCAGCTTTCAGTTTAACTTCTCTTTTATCCAAAAGCTTTCTTTGAACACCAAGTCCAAAAAATTAGACATTTCTCTTTGCTTTCATAGTGCTATCTACTTACTTCTAATGTGCCTTATCAAATTCTATTGACTTTTTTTATGGTTATCTCTTTGGGGGCAGGAACTGTGTCCACCTTGGCTAATCTTGTATCCCCAGATCACAGCACAGTGCCTGACACAACTTATATGCTTAAAAAGAATTTCACTTGATTAATAAATTAACATATGCCTTGGCACAAGCAGTGCCCTCTTTTGAGAATGTCCTGTTTTGCATCCTTGCTTATTCAGCAAACTCCTGCTCACCATTTGAGCCCCAGTATCATGGCTCCTTGACTCCCTAAGGGAGTCATAGGGCCCAGAGCCCTGTGACCCACATCACCCTCCTCCCCATCATCAATGTTTAGGATATGATTTGTTCATGAGTCTGTTTGTACACCAGACTTCAAAATCTCTGATGGCAGGACCTGTCTTTTCTTCTATAAATATTAGTACCCGTTACTTGGTATAGAGCGTATGCTCAAATACTTGCTAAAGTTTGGAGGGATTATCATAATAAAGCTGGGTTTGATTTTTTTTTCTGAAGGTGATACTCTTGATGTAAAGCAATTCCAAAATAAGTATTCTGTACAATTTGTTCACGGATGTGTCCCTGTAATAAGTGTTTATCTTGCCATGGGTACTAGTCACTAAGTTATAGGGTTTGAAGTTGTCTCTTTACATTGAAGTTTGTGTCTTACCTATGTTCTTTGTTTACATATGTTCAAGGCTCCATCATATGGAATGACTCATGTCCACATTCATGGTATTACAAAGTAATTTTTGGAAAAAAGAGATTCATCACATCATAAATGCTTTGAAATAACTTGGAAAATTTGTTAATACAATGCAGGATCTTTGCAGATCTCTAAATATTTTCCAGGTTGTCCTCCAGCTCTGTGCAAAAAAAGAGATGATGTAGGCTTTTGTAGGTTAACTATCAAAAGTACCTAGATGAGTGGTTCTAAACCATGGGTGATTTTGCACCCCAGGAGACATTTGACAATGTCTGGAGGCATTTTTGGTTGTCACAGGTGTGTGTGTGTGTGTGTGTGTGTGTGTGTGTGTGTGTGTAGGTGCTAATGACTGGCCTAATGTGTGGAGGCCAGGGATGATGTTAAAATTCCTACAATGCACAGGACAGCCTCCTACACCAAAGAATTATCCCGTCCAAATTATCAGTAGTGTCAAAGTTGAGAAACCCTGACCTAGATGAAATAAAATGTCCCAGTTCACTCAGATGTACTTTCCTATTTTAGGATAGAGTATAAATACTACTCAACATATAACTAGAACACCAGGTGAGTACAGTCCTACTTAGGTATCTTTGTTCTTATATTTTGATGTTTTCCTTTTTAAAATGGTGCTTTAATATCTATCTCATGGGATTGTTATAAAAATTAAATATTATGTGTGTGGGAAAACCCTTAATTCAGTATCTGGCAAATAGTGGTTGCTTGATAAATATTTGTAGAATATGGTCCATGAACACACAGAGAATGGGGTTTAGGGAGTGGAGGCAAATAGAATTTACCCTAAATTATTCCTGAACACCTCATTCTTTCTAATGTCAGTATCTGCATCATTACTTCTGAGAACACTTTAAAGAGGGATAGGCATTGGCAAAGATCCAGGAAGGTGCACATACTTACTTTTTGTTCTTCTCGTTCTACGGCTGCATTGCATTTTTCTATTCCCCAGTTTCTCATAAAGTCTCTGAGATAGCCAAACAGGGTTCCAATTCCATATCCCATATAGGTGAATACCATGACATGAAGAGGCGCTTCCTCAAAGGATTCAACAATGTGCTTTTCATAAATATGTGTCTTCCCATTTTGCTGAAAACACAAAAGAAAATCCAAGGTTAGCACTCTCCCATTACAAATATACTATGATACTTAAAGTTTTGGACTTTCAGCCTTTGAAATCTTAAAGAACGTATTTAAGATTGTAAAAGTTGCTTGGAAAATATTGGAAATTGATCATTGCAGAGGGTAATTAAAAATGTAAATTTTATTTTACAGCCCCTCATGAAATAATTGATTCAAGCAAAAATTTTCAACAGATGTTCAAACCATTAGGTGAAAAGGTAATGAGGAATAGAGTATTTGCAAGATGCTAAAGTATGACCTCATGACTTACTTCCTAATCAAAAACTTGGAGTAATTACTCTAACCAAGTGATCAAATTACATCAACAATGTTGGAACAACCAGCCATTCTAAACTCTTACTAAAATTTTGATACACAGCATCACGTATGAAACATTTAACCTGAACTTAGTCAAGCTATTATATATATCTTCCATTTTGCAAAAAATGTTGGGATAGAGGAACATGGTAAAAAATTTATGAGAAAACAACTAGATAATCCAGAATAATGTAGGATTTTCTGTATGACAACTGGCTTGGCCTTTTCAAAAAGTCCCATTTCTCATAAAAGAAAAGGTGTAGAGAGGTCTTAAGAGAAACAAGGTGAAAGACATATTTTGAACAACTGTGGGAATCCAAGCGTAGACTATAAATAACCTTATTAAGTAAGGAATTATTATTTTTGTTACGAATGATAGTAATATTATAGTTATGTAAGAGAATGTTTCAGTCTTCATTAATGCATACCGAAGTATTAAGGGGTGAAGTGTTATGACAGCTGTAATTTTCTTTCAAATTGAATATATATATATAATTCTTTCAAATTGCATATATGTATAATGTTGTCAAAATTGCACATATATATAAAGCAACTTTGGGAAAATGCTAATAACTGTTGAATCTAGATAGAGGCTATATGGACATTATGTTATTTTTTCTACATTTCTGTATGCTTGAAATTTTTTATATTAAAAAGTTTAAAAGTTTTTACTTTCCAGTGGAAAGTAGATTTTTAGCACAAAATCATTTGGTTACTGTTTAATTGATGTGCACATAGTAGCTCAATCAATATTTACTCAATGGGTTATTAAATAAAATTATTTCTAATGCTAATATTTAACTAAGGTTTAGTCAATAAATATTTATACATTCATTCATTATTTTATTTACTAAATATAAGTCAATTTGCAGATTCCCAATTTCTTAATGAGATGATCCATAAAAAGCATTTTGACCACATGGCATATATAACTTTTAGTGATTTACAAGAAATTGTCAAATGTCTGCTAATACTTAACATATTAATTTAGCCTATTATATATATTTAGAATGATTTATTGTATCATGTTAATTAGAAATATCATTTTTGCCATTCTCATAGCCTTTGCCATCACCTCAATCAACACAGTTTTCCAGAGTATGACATTTCCTCTACATTGTTTGAGATGCAGCAGTTTGAGAATCTCTGTGTGATTTAGTCACTGGAAATTTTATCCCAACCCACAAAATAGATGGAAAAAAAAAATCAAACTGGTAATGGATATTTTTGATCTCTACATTTTTTTTAAAGCAATTTTGAAAAGGCTTTTTATGATGACATCTAACATTTGAATTCCTAAGTCAAAACAACACAACATATTATCAAATATTTAAATTCCCTGCCTCCGTATTTATCCGTTGTGTCAGGTTACCTTTAACTAACCTGATACAATGGAGAAATAACCCAAAACTAACATTGATGCATGTTGTTCCTGTCTAATGTGTCTTTCCCAAACACCATCTGATAGCTAAATAACGAAAATGAGAGAGCATTGCTGCATACAAGGTAAAAGGTAAATGAAAGGTTATAATATTGCCTCGTATAAAGGGCATTTATTGGGTGCATACCATGAGCACACAATGTGCTAGGCTCTGGGAATTCAAAGACGAACAAGACAGACTCTGCTCCTGCTCCTCCCTCTATGTCCTTACCCCAGTCATGCAGGTCTGACAGATGCCTGATCTTCCTATTCTAGTGCAACCTTTGGCTCCCTTCCTCTGCTCTGCTCTTCACTTGACCTTTAGACTACATCAGTCTCCAGCATTCCAGGTGACCTCCTGACCCAGTTAAGATCCACTTCCTGCATCCTTTCACATCCCGGGAGCACGACATTGGTTTCCTTGCTGGATTTGTCCAGACTCTAGCAAAAGGGATCCTCATGAAAAAGGATGTGATGAAACTTTATGACTGTTTAGATACGAGACCAAGGAAGAGGAAAATGAAAAGTATCTGCAAGGAGCCATATAGTATTGTTGATAAG